TGGTAGCCAAGGTAAGTGACCGAAAGGCACATAGGGCAGTGGTGTGCCGTACAGTTTCACAGATGGTGGCGTACTACATGTAGGCAAGCGGCTTCGGTGACAGGGGAAAAACATACAGTTCGTCTTCCTGTCACAGAAGGTCATATCATTTTCGGCACCAAAAGTCTCACATACATGAATAAGTTTCTGTAGCGCTTTCGCCGAGGGACATATCAGACAAAAGTCGTCGGCATACAAAAGGTGATTTACAGGGACTCTGCCAATAAAGCAACCCACATTGGCAGCGTTTAACTTAACGGTAAGGCTCGTAACGTATGCATTAAATAGTAGAGGGGAAAGTAGACTCCCCTGGGGAACACCGTTGCCGAAGCAAAAGCTATCCGAAACGGAAGATCCCCAACGCACCCTGAGGGATAACATTTGAAACCAGTAAACTATAATACGTACTAAATAGACGGGTACATTTCTATCAAGTAATTTCTTATACAGAGTAAAATGATTAACTCGGTCAAATGCCTTAGAGGCGTCAAGAAAGCAAACAAATACAGAAGAACCTCGGCTTTTGAAGTAAGAGATTATCTCTTTGAGTGCGAAAATACACATGTCTGTCCCATGGTGTTTTTTAAAACCGAATTGATTCGCCGGAGATAATAAGTGCTTCTCCAGGCGACTGAGGAGAATGGATTCAAATAATTTGAAAATGGGGCTGGAGATTGCAATGGGGCGATAATTATTCTTAAGTGAAGGATTCAGGTTTTTGTTTCTTGATTATCGGAATGAGAATTACTCTTAACAAGATCGGGGGGACATGGCCGTGCACTAACATAGCAGAAAACAAAAGCGAGAGCAGAATCGTAAGCCGAGGTCCCGCATGCTTCAGATGCTCAGCTGAAAGACCGTCAGAATCACAGGCCTTCCCGTTCTGGAGCCTGTTGATTGCTGCGAATACCTCAGGTGCGGGTACCGACATTCCCGGGTCATAGCTGATATCTGAGTGAATTATGTCATCTACGGATTGTTTACAATCGTTGGGAGCAACAGAGTTCAACAGAGAGTCGTAGTGACGCCTCCACATGCTAGTGATATCAGCCGTACCAGTGTGGCCGTCAATGTTGCAGGGGAGGTTAGGCTTGGAGCCATTTTGAGACCGTAGCGTAGACCAGAAGCCTACTTGACCCCCTTTATGCAAACCAGAGGCGAGCGCATCTGCCCTGTGTAGGGCCTCCGCGCGTCGACACTCTCTTAAAGCGAGTTTAAATTTTGCCCGAGTTGATCTCATAAGGTTCCAAATGGCCCCATGCCTCGGTCGATTGAATTCTCGCCACATAGAAAATGCATCTCGAGCAGCAGAATGGTACTCTTTGACGACGGAATTCCAACCAGGTATCGCGTGGGAGGTGCCACATTTTCCTGTGGGGAGGGATGTCGTAGCTGCACTTTTGAGAGCTACGACTATAGCAGAGGTAAAGTTATCAAGAGAAGTTCTGTGGTCATTGTTCTTACAATTAGGATTTTGACACAAAAGAGCATTGTTTGGCAATTGGATTTCAGATAAGAGGGCATCGGCACAAATTTGATACCGTGCCAGGTCAGAGGGGGATGCACGTTCCCAGTTAAATCTCTTTGGCGGTGGAATTCCGTCACCAGCTGTGTTTGTAAACACAGGGACCGATGTCCGGTCAAATGAAACCCAGAGAGGAAAATGATCGGATGAGACAAAATCATACAGAA